CCGACGTTGCAAAGCCTCGTACAAGTAGCTACCACAGAGGTTCGCTCATTTGTAAAAGGCAAATGAAATAATTCTACTGATTAATTGCTCAGGCTCCACGTACGCCTTCATCGTCTACAGCAGAACTTGCTTCCGGAGTCCGTCCGAGTAGCGTCCTTGAAGAAGAGCTAAAACTTCCGGCGGAAAGGTCTTTAGATCTGATGCAGCTTGGTTTTTCGTTTGAAGAAGTCAAACAGGTTACATTCCACGTTTCATATCTTACAATAAGCAGCAGTGATTTTCCTAATATACGCTCAGTAAAAGGAGCCTGCTTTTTGGGAATTGTCATTCTATACATTTTCCAGATAGCTGATCTATTCGACCAATACAAAGAAATCATCAGGCCTCATAACCCAAGTCTCACTCTCAATCAAGTAACTATAAATAGCGTCACTTGCTGTCCGAAAACCTTAGTTCGTGGCTTTACGTTACAGGCTCTAACTCAGTTTGCCAATCTCATTTCATTATCAGTACCTGAGAACTTGAAATTGATTGCGCACACCTTCAACCTGCTGGAAATGGGATACACGCGACAAGAAGTAGCTCGACTTCTGGCCAAAGAGGTAAATCACATAAAAATGCTTTGTATAAACTGACTGAAGCAAATCCATGTACTCTTAGCGACGAAGAGTGCAGCTAGATGCCACTGAGATGGACGTTAAACTAAAAAGATCACGAACAGCGTCACCGCTGGAGTCTAATGGAGAAAATTTTCTTGCGCAGGAAAGCAATGGCAACCAATCGGACGATGAGGTGTAAGTTAAAAAATCCGATCTCCTGCCGTTTAATTCCCCTCTAGACTTATAAATGCTTTCCAGAGCTTCTTCATGACCTGCGATCGAGCATGAGAAGGCGAAGGCAAAAAAATTTATTTGTGATAAACTAACATCTGCTTTAATGTCTATTACTGTCATCTTCTGTCAGCTACTGCTCCTGCCAAATATTTCTACATAAAGTTCCAAATAATAACTGAGGTCGAGCTCAGTTAGCGAAAAAATGTTTCGCATTGAGTTACATCGTAGCAGGGAATTCTAATTAGTCAAAAATTGACGTCTGAAATTTCATTCCTGAAAGAATTGCTGAATTATATGCCGAATGTGTAAGTCAGGTGATAGTAATCGCTGTAACTAATTACTGATATAAAATCTATAATGACTGTGGAATGGCCTCAACAGAAATTTGATATGATATGTAGGGAGTTGTTCACCAAACATTACATACTTTAACTTTAATTTACCTGGCATTTAAGATAATGCTCATTCTCTCAAAAGCCTCACAGAATGCTTTTTTAGAGTACTTCTTCTTTTTGCATAGAGACCTATTCGGTAGGCATTGGTGCAAACATCCTCGTAGTAAAGTTATTCAACTCCATTTCGTCGAATCTCTCTTGTTAATGCTTGGCAAAGACACGATACGTGTGCTTTTTAGCTTAATGGTGGCCAACGGAGTAGTAACTAAGTCTACCCACTTTTTCCTCTTGGGGTCAGATAAATTTTTAAGATCTCCCGAATTAATTTGCAGTAATTCTTTATTTCGAACAATATAAGAGCCATTAACGAACTTAATGACGGTCATTAACGGCTATTTTCGGTTAGACTCCAGTTTTTTTTCCTTGATTCTTAACCATAACAGCACATGCCAGCCTCAAAAGTAAGTAGGACACGCGGATGTTAGAACAGAATGCCATGACTGAAGTTTGCTCCTCAAGATAAGGCGGAAGTTATTCTTTTGTTTCGTGGAAGATATATTTTTCAATCCTTAGTTTCATTTGTACCTTTAGTTATAACGTATAGGCCCTCAAATCAGATTGTACAGTAATACCTTCATAAATCAATGAATCAATCTATATTTTATTCTTACACAAATATTTCTCATTAAAAAACGAGAAACACGCTGAGAGCAGTGCACTAATCAGGACCCTAGAGGGAAAACAAAAAAAAAGAGAAAAA